TAGAGAGCTAGAAACGTCGATGAGAGAGAAGAGAGAGAAACACCGACCAGCTGCCTCTTGCACACCCCCTACCGGGGATGTGCCCGCAATCGAACCTGGGACCTTTCAGTCCGCAGACCGATGCTCTATCCACTGAGCCAAACCGGTTTCGGCCAAACTCCTCTACTTCTTATTCAAGCTGTATAGCATACTGATCCGTGGCATCCTTCTGCTGGGACTTCCTCTCAGGCATTTCTCCAGTCTGCCTGTTAGTGAGTGTCCAATGGAGATGTTATTGTTCGGTGAAGAACAGACAGGCAGATCCAAGCAGACACGGTCAGGTGCCCCAGCCACGAGAAAACGGAAAAGAACCAAGCAGAGTGCTTCCTACGGGCGAGGGGAGCTCAGGGCAAGCGGGGACAAGGCCCAGCTGAGCCGGTGAATGCCAGACTCGTCAAATTACATCTCTCGGACTAAGATCCTCATTAAGGGCCTGCACCTCAGAGACATCTTGGCCTCCCAAGGTGCATCATCATGGAAGACTGGCCATGATAACAGTAATTTAGAGGAAGTTAAAAGAACAGTCTAAATTAGAACAGGTACTCACGCTTCCACTTCTCTCGAGGAGTCAGTGGGACAAAGAAAACTCACTGGAGGACTCTTGGGCAAAATGAACTTTGGAAGGCGGACGTGGCCAGCCTGGTGAGCGAGGCTTAGAAACAAAGAGCGTGTCCCGTGCTTTTAAGGGTTCTATTATTTTCTTCCAAGTCATCTCACTACAGAACAATTTTCAGAAGTGCTTGGTCTACCCGGTGACTCAGTCATTTCTGTTAGGGCAGTGGTTCTCAACCTTTCTAATGCCAAGACCCTTTAATACAGTTCCTCATGCTGTGGTGACCCTCAACCATAAAATTATTTTTGTTGCTACTTCATAACTGTAATTTTCCTACTGTTAATGAATCATAATGTAAATATCTGTGTTTTCCAATGGCCTTAGGCGACCCTGCTAGCAGTTCTCAACCTGTGGGTCGTGACCCACAGGTTGAAAACTGCTGCTGTAGAGCCTAAGACCAACCATTTTGTGGTTGGGGGTCACCACAACATGAGGAACTGTATTAAAGGGTCGCAGCATTAGAAAGGTTGAGAACCACTGTGTCAGGGCTTTCCATCAAATGCTGCCTCCTCCCTGCCAGCATGGCCATTGCCAAAAAGCAATGGCTTCATGTTAGGGAGTTTCAACACGACCCTCCTGAGTTACCCTGGGTGGAGGGTGGGACATTTTTTCCTGCACCTGTCTCTCGCTGTGCCTCTGCAACCTTTCACACACTCTGTACCCAGCAAGGTGACGGTAAGGGAGTAGGGCAGTGCCCTTCTCTCACTGGACTCAACACCACCACCCAACAGGAAATGCACAGCACAGGTGTGGGAGTTTGGCTGACTTGTGGCAAAAAATAAACACGGTTTCCTGTTTGCCTCTTATTTTCAGTCCTAAGTGGTGAGGAGTTGCTGGGACTTCCTGCCAGGACTAGCACTTTATGCGGGCGAAGAAGGTGTCATTTGCGGCCCAAAACATACCGATACCTGCGACCTTCCAAAAACTCACCTCATTCATCAGTATCACAGCTTAAAGCAATAGCGAGTGTTTTAAGTTGGGCTAAATCATTGTGCTACTTGGAGTGTTGAAAGATTGGCACTTGGAAGCATTATAATTTTTTCGTGTATCTTATTAGATGAAAGCAATTACAAGTCGAGAGAATTTTTCATTTTCTGTCTGTTCATCCATGTAATTCATCTAGGTGTCCATTCATCCATATGCATTTACTCATCTATCCATATCCATCTACCCATCCATCCATCCATCCCCTAGATGCCTGTTTACTCCCAGCTAATTTTTTAAATGTATTTATAGAAGAGAGAGAGAGAGAGAGAGAGAGAGAGAGAGAGAGAGAGAGAGATTTCTTATTCCACTTATTTATGCATTCATTGGTTGATTCTTATATGTGCCATGACCTGGCATCAAACCCACAACCTTGGCATATCAGGACAACAGTCTAACCAACTGAGCTAGCCAGCCAGGGCTCCCAGCTCATTTCTTACAATCTAACATGGATTTCATATGGCCTTGTGACTTCTAATAATTCCATGTGTATATACCAGCTTTCCCAGTGAGTCTGCCATCTCCTGAGTGGAGAGAAAACATCAAATACTTAAAATCTCATGAGAGGGTAGAGCAAAAAGCCAAGCACACAGTGGGTGTGCACTATATTCCTGTTACAATAGAATGAGACCAGCCTGACAGGGGAAGGTCCCCAAGCAGAGCCTTCCCCCGTTCGTTCCCCGGCAAGCCTGCTGCAACATGGCCGTTCTCAGACAGTGATTTACAAGGTGGACACAAAGCACACAGCGCTGCCTAAGTGAAGTCCTGCTGGCGGCAGGGGAGTCTGCTGGCATTCCTTTTTGGTTCTTGGAGCTTTCAAGCATCCCACTTGCCCTGGGTCACAGGCCCACTCACCTCTGAGTCACCTTGTGCTCTCTCGTTAGCATCTTTAGTAACAGCTGTCATGTTAGTGCAAAACCACACTCCATCTTCCAAGGCCTGGCTGCCATGTCGTTTTTCCCGTGCAACCACTCCTTTGCCAGACATGTAATGAGTAGCCATTAAGTGCCAGGCTTTGGACCGGGCATGGGGGAATATAGTGGTAAATAATACACATAATTACTGTTCTTCAGGGAAGCAGAGCCCTCAAGACAGACAACAGACAACCACAATTCATCACGGTGAACACTGTACCAGTGGAGCCAAACAGAGGGCACTGATCCTGCCTGGGAGTTGGGGGTTGGCTTCTCAGAGAAGGTGCCTTTCCGGTTGACTCCTGGGGGTACGTAGGAGTCCCCCAGGAGGTGAGGAGAGGAAGGACAGCCACAGCAGAGGGAATCCTGGATGCAGAGGTAAGAGTGTAAGGATCCAGGACAGCCAATGGCGAAGAGAAGTTGGTGTGAGCGGAAGAGCAGGGATGTGAGGCTGGGGAGTCGGAAGAGGGTGCATGGGAGAAGCAGGGGGTGAGGCTGCTACAGGGGAAGCAGGGCCCTGAGCGACAGGCTGAGGACTTGGGCTCTTACAGCAGCAACGGGGAGCCACTCCAGGTGTGGAGAGACATCCATGTTTGTGCTTCAGAAAAATCTTTCTGAACAGGAGAATGGTTCTGAGGCCATTGTAAATGTAGAGAAAGAATAGTGAGGGCTAAGGCTAATCATGGAGGGCGGATGGAGAGGACGAGCATAATTCATAGGAAAGATGCTTAGAAGGTAGGGGCAATAAGTGGGACACACACAGGGAGAAGGAAGGAGAGAGATGGATGTGAAGATAGATCCCAAGATGTCCAGTTCCAGCCCAGCCGGCGTGGTTTGGTGGTTGAGCGTTGACCTGTGAACCAAGAGGTCTTGGTTCAATTCCAGTCAGGGCATATGCCAGGTTTCAGGCTCGATCCCCAGTGTGGGGTGTGCAGGAGGTAACCTATCAATGATTCTGTCATCATTGATGTTTCTATCTCTCTCTCCCTCTCCCTTCCTCTCTGAAATCAATTTAAAAAAAATATTTAAAAAAGAAAAAAGAAAAAAAGAAAACACCAGATCAGCCTGGGAAATGCTGCTAAGCTCGGTTCAGGGTCCACTCGGCTTACCGAGGCCTCTGTCCACACCTTCATTACTCCTGGAGGGAGGACAATGAGGCCCAAGACTCAACGCGAGCCTTCCCTTTCCTGGCATTTCCAGAAAAAGAAAAAAAAGAAAAAAAGGAAAATACCCCAAAGCTTACTGCCACACAGCAGCCCTCAGCGATTATGGCAATTGCTCAATTATATGGTTCTTCATGAAGGACAGATTACAGGGTTCCTTCGCTGAAGGCTCTGTGCCCTGACCAGATAAAACTAAATTAAAAAAAAATAAAAAAAATGCCAACGCTGGGCATTTTCGGAGCGTATGGCAACATTTGGTTCTAGTCAGCAAGAAACAGGAACAAAGCACAACAAAATGGCGGGGGGATGTTCTGTTTGATTTTGCTTCCTAAGGATATGGAAGGTCTGAGACCCAGGTATGCTTTTAGCAAGAACAAGCCTCATTTGAAAACACCTGCTGTTAATCAGATGATAAAAGTGCAGGCTGTTTGCATGCTCTCTGTGAGCCCGATTCCAGCAGTTCGTTGCTAGGTCTGTGTCTTGCCACCTGGTGCTCAGGTTTGCATAGAGATGGTGACATTTACATCTCCAGTCCAGCCCAGAAGAACAGCCCTGTTCTAGTAAACCACACGGCCCTCCACCCAGCGCCCCACTGTGGCAGATATGAATGACTTTCCCATCAGCCATTGTCCTCCTTTCCTTTCCTGAGGGTAGAGCCTGCCTCCCTGTAAAAACCCAAGATTTACCTTCCCAGCTTCCTTTGGAGCTATGGTCTGGGCAAGCCTTACCAACCTGGCCAAGGAGAATTGCCAAGAAAATCTGTTGAGTGGTTCTTGGAAGAGGTTCTCCAACTGCGTGTGTGTGTGTGTGTGTGTGTGTGTGTGTGTGTATGTATGTAGCACATTGAACACTAGAAGGCTGAAGTCTCTGGCATAGGGGAGAAACTTCAGACTTCTAGCGTTCGATGTGCGCATGTGAGGATGTGGTGTTTGGCACAGTGGCAACCATCTTGTGACCACGAGGAACTCATCCTGAGGTTATCATCCAGCTCTCTGGGGGACGGTAGACCAGAAAGATGGCCAAAGTGGAGTCCTTGACGTATTGAACTGTAACCATTCCTGCCCCCTACCTGTAGACTCTTGAGAAAAGTGTCCTTGTTGCAGACTCCATTCTAGTTGGGCATTACAGCTCCTAACTGTTCTGCCTTCCTCCAGATGTCCACACAGAGGCATGCTGGTGGGACTCTTCAATTTATCTCCACATTGGGTTTGAGAGTGTTTCAGCATTCCCAGTTCCCCGGGATTTTAGTGATTTTTTAATGCAAAGCCTTGCAGCAAAGGGCCGGAGAGGAGGTATGTAATTTTTATTTTTTCACGTTATTAAATTTTGTTGCTTTAACTATTGGGGGGAATAAAGGTGTTCTAACGTGGCTGGCTGGTTTCTCTTTCTCGTCCGCTCCCAAGCCCAGCTCTGTGGAAGACAAAGGCAAGTCTCGGAGAGTCCTTTCGTCGGTGCACGAGATGCCCATTTTGCGCATGTGCAGACTCATGGGCAGGTGTTGGGGAAAGACCAGCCTTCGCATCTCCTGTAAGGCAGAGAACAACGGCCATGAAATAACGTGTGGCGGGCGGGAGCACCTGTTCCAGCGCAGCAGGCTCATCCTGGCCCTGCTGCTGGCTGGCATGTTACTGAGCAGGCCTCATCTTTTGCTTCCTCGTGGATAAAACAATGTTAGTGGGTTAGAGGTCCCAAGGCTCAGGATCTGGGAAATCTTTGGCACTCTACCTGGCACATAGTAAGACCTTAATACACAGGGGCCATTGCTCCCAATACATGGCCGTTCTGCTCTTCCCTGGTGGCACTGGGAGTTGAGAGGGTGTCCCTACATGCAGGCTTTGCTCTTCATCATGACCTTGGGGTTGAGTTTTGCAGAAAGCAGCTCATATTTGGAGAGTTCTTGTCTGCTGAGTCTATCGATGTATGGAGCTGTTCTTATTAATGTGTCATTGTACTTGTGTCTGCGGCATGGTTTTGGCTCATGACTCGGTATCCCTAGCAGACTAGAAGCTCCTGGGGGGGAGGGGGGGGGGCGGGTGTAGGATGGAGATTTTCATGGCTAGATCTGCCGGAGTTCTCAGCTCCAGGCTGTGTACATGCCTAAGGAATGTTGGCTAGTGAATGGATAGACGGGCAGCAGCTGTGACATGAGGAATTGGGGCTGATTTCTACAGTAGAATGTTCAGAGAGCAGTCCTTCTAAACATGGCTGTGCGTTAACATCATGCCTGGATAGAATGACCCCATTATCTGGTTTGTGCAAATTCCAAGGGCTCGAGACTTTCTGTTTTAAAACAACAACTGAGGGATTTTCTGGGACTCAGGACTTTTAGGGTCAAAAGATGGGAAATTCCAGGAAAAGTGTGAGTCAGTCCTGGGGAAACTGGGCGGGTTGGTCATCGAATCAAGAGGCTTAAAAACATGCTAATGCCTGGGACCCGCCCCCAAATTTCCTGATCTCACTGGCTCTGGGTGAAGATGCACTGCCTGGGCTCCTATGCGCACCGGAGCTGTGAGTGGGTCACAGGCGGCCTGAACAATGGCCCCCTCAGACTTCGGGGTACTGACGGCGTGAACAGGGGCGAGAAGCACTGACTGAGTCATGCTCCATAAAGGTGGTGAAGAGAGAATATGTTAAAAAAGAAAATTCTAAGGCATCACCCAAGACACTCCAAACTGGGACCCTGCATTAGGACCAAGCTTCCCCAGTGATTCACTTGCACACCCAGGTTTTAGAATCCCAAGAACGTACAGCTAGAGTACATGTACAGTAGAACATATGCACAGCTAGAACATATGCACAGCTAGAGTAGATGTACAGCTAGAGTACATGTACAGTAGAACATGTGCACAGCTAGAACATATGCACAGCTAGAACATATGCCAGCTAGAGTACATGTACAGCTAGAACATATGCACAGCTAGAGTACATGTACAGCTAGAGTACATGTACAGCTAGAACATATGCACAGCTAGAACATATGCACAGCTAGATCATGTGCACAGCTAGAGTACATGTACAGTTAGAATATTTGTACAGCTAGAACATATGCACAGCTAGAACATATGCCAGCTAGAGTACATGTTCAGCTAGAACATATGCACAGCTAGAACATATGCACAGCTAGAACATATGCACAGCTAGAACATATGCACAGCTAGAGTGCATGTACAGCTAGAGTACATGTACAGCTGGAGTACATGTACAGCTGGAACATATGCACAGCTAGAACAATACTTCCAAAAAAATGCATTTGGGAATGGTCGCACTTGAATTGACTTGGGCCCAGAAGGTAACAGGTGAGATAATGGGATGGAAGGGAACCATCTTTCATCATCACAGAATCCTCCTTTCCCCAGACTTTTCTCTCCCCTGGAAACAGGTATTTCTGAGCATCACAGCTGCCTTCAGATCGTCCTCCACCGCGGGCCACCGATCTTCAAGTCGGCTAGAGTTAGCCTCTGTGGCCAATGAGGTTCTTGTTCTCCAGTCCCTGCTCCCTCCTGCCCTGGGAGCTCACAGCCAGCAGAAGCGGGATGAGCTATTTCTCTGCAGAGGAGTGAGAAGCACAGATGTTTGTGAGGGTAAGCCGCTGAGTTTGGGGGAGTTGGTTGTGCAGCATTTGCGTGGCCAGAACGGACTCACCCATCCCACAAAAGGGGAAAGATTTGGCGTAGGTCACCGGTCTCACTAAAGGACTTGGAAACCCTCCCCAGAAGAAAAGCGAGCTTACCATGGTGGCCAGGGCCCGGAAAGGGGTGAAGACCTGCCCGAGCTGGTAGCATTTGTGCACGTTGATGTCCCCATAGCGACTGCGACGCTCCTTCCAGCCAGCCAGTCTCTTCTCCGTCTTCATGTCCAGGAGGTTCCGGAAAGGGCCCTGCTGGGGGGAGAGGTGGGGGGGCGCCACAGGCACCTGCGGTGAAGAGCCCAGAGAGCGCTTCCCCCCACCTCACACAGCTAGAACATATGCCAGCTAGAGTACATGTACAGCTAGAACATATGCACAGCTAGAACATATGCACAGCTAGGGTGTGCCAGGGTGTACTGCTTAAAACAGGCACCTCCACTTCACACCTCTCCTGCTTTAGGCGGACCACCATTTGCCTTGGGAGGTACTTGGTGGTCTATAGTCTTGGCGGGTAGAGAAAAGAGCTGTCGGCTCCATGAGTTGCTGGGTCTGCACAGCAGATTGGGGGGCAGGCACCGAGTTCTATTCAGACTGTGCCACTCCCTGTGGGACCTCGACACACCACCCACCTCTATGGTGGCTCAGTGGCTGAGGTCCTTCCCGGCCTTGAAATGGCATGGTTCGTGGGACATGGTTTGTGGGACACTGGCACACCAAGAATGCCACCGACCGAGGCCATCCTTGCTGAAGGCTGGAGGCGGGCTCCGACGTGTAATTGTGTGGCGCAGGGCCCTCTCTTGTGACTCTAATCTCACTTCTACTAGACACTGAGGAGCAAGGAGCCCGTGTGCATTCCACTTGCAGAGACACTGGCACAGGGTGCCCAGGGGACCGCCCAAGCCAGAGAGCTTCCTCGCACAGCGCCGTCCCTGCTTCTACCGAAGGCTCCTCCTGCTGGGTGCCCACGGCTGCTCTGATGCTTGCTTTCAACTGATGTTCCCAGTCCCTAGCCACCTCACCCTCACCTGCCCTCTCTCCTCTGGCCTCACCTCTCTGGACTAGCCATCGAGGCCTGCAAACTGTCCATCGGTTTCTGCAGAAGAGAAGGTGCCTCTTGCTCTGCCGTGTGTGGCCAGAGGAAGAGTGAGGTCCAGCCTAATTCTTGGCCACAGGGCCCGCCCCCGACATGCTCGGCTCCCCCTTGGGTGCAGAGGAGGCACAGCAAATGCTGCCTCTCTCTGCATATTGATTCTTTTTCTTATTTTTCAATCCTCCGCAAGGATATTTTTCCATTGATCTTTAGAGAGCGAGTGGGAGAGAGGAGGGTGAGACATAAGGAGAGAAACATCTATGTGAGAGAGACACATGGACTGGTTCCTCCTGCACATGCCCTGACCGACCCCAGGGACGAATGAACAAACGAGATATGTGCCCTTGACTAGGAAATCGGACCCTCGACCCTTCGGTCCTCGGGCCAATGGTCTAACCTAGGGGTGTCGAACTCAATCAGAGAAGGGGCCAAAATCTAAAATCCAGTCTGTATCGCGGGCCGAATGGTTTACTGAACAGTCATAAACTATCATTGTGATGGAAACGCAGTGGAGTGCAGTGATGACAGCGCGGTGCGGGCCACATTGCAAGGCCTGGCGGGACGGATTTGGCCCGCGGGCCTTGTGTTTGACACATGTGGTCTAACCACTGAGCAGACCTTCCAGGCAGGGAAATGGTTGGCAAGGTGGTGGTGGAAGATGGAGACTGGCCTATGATGGCCGAGTGGACCCGCTTTCTCTCTGAGACACCTGGGGAGTGGGGGGTGTGCTGAGGCGTGGGCGGCCGGACACACCGCAGGAACCTCATCCCAATTAGAGGGTTGGACCATTTCCTGCCTCCCACACGGCAGGAAATGAATGTGTGTTGGTTTATTTCTCCCAGCACTGCCCGTAAGGATGCCAGGCGGGCACTGCGATGGCAGCTCTGGAGGCAGCGGGCACAGAGGAGCTGACCAACATCGGAGGCCGCTAGGGACTCTCTCCCACGGTCTCTGTCACCTTCTCTTGCACCCAGTTTAATTCACATGGTGCTTCAGGGTGCCAGGCCCGACCAGCCCCGTCACTCTGGACCGGGCTGGAGCCGACAGAGAGCAGAGCCGTATCCCGTGAAAGATGAGAGAGTCCTCCACCCTGGACCCTTCTGTCTGCTCCTTCCCGTCTTGTCATGGCGCCTCTCTTTAGGAAGGCCGTCATCACCATCGTCACCACCAGGACATTCCCCATAGAGGAACCAAAATCCGCAAGCACCTCCTCTCCTGCCAGAGCAGCCCTTCTCTTCCTCTGCTGCCTCCCCTCCTCATCTTTCAGAATTCTGATGTTGGCTTCCAAGGAAGTGTGTGACAACCCCCACCCCCACCCCAGTCAGAGCCAGCTCTTCCTCTGGGCTTCCAAACCATCTCCCCCGAGAGTCTGTGTCCCCCACCTGACTTACTTCAAGGTCTCTCTACCCAACCATGTCCCAGCTACACCCCAGGGTCCTCAAAAACAGAGCCTGCGTTTCACCATCTTGGATGGATGACATGTCACGTGCTAAGTGCTCAACAGAGGTTTGTCACGTGAGGAGCAATCGAAGGCCACGTCTGGGTTGTAAGCCAGCAGGGAGAGAGGATTAGATTGCCACCAAACTTCCCCCAAATGTCTCTTTCACACAAAGAGGAGCCTGTGAACCAGAGGGTGAGGCTGGGGATGAGATCTCATCTCACTCAGCGGAAACAGAGCAGCCATTGGGGGAGAACAGAGGCACCCGGGGTGGAAGAGACCATTCGGGACCTCAGAAAACTGTCCGAGGACTTCTTTCCTTCTTTCGGGGAACCCTGATGAGATTCACACCACATCATCTCTCACGCGGAGGCAGGAGGTGATGGGGGGGGGGGGGGTAAAGAGAAGCCATCGGCACCTCATTGCTCAGCGCACCCCCCTGTGGGGCACCGTCTCACCTCTGTCTGCCTGGCTGAGGGGAGCAAGGGGCCCTGGGAAGACTCACGTCGTGTATTTGGAAGTCCTTGGCCACGGGAGGAGACAGTTGCCAGCTTCGTCCCACAGCTTTGGAGCTTGGACTCGAGATTAGTGGTGGATACACAGGTCCCGGGGGCGTCGGCAGCTTCCAGTCTGTTCCGAGGAGACAAAGGCCACGTTGGAGAAGCCCACACCCAGTGCCCGCATCTTCCCCGCCTGGACCAGGGTTGACATCGCTGGATTTGACCCCAAAACATAACAAGCAAGAGCCTCATGCAGGAGGAGGCAGCCGCTCAGCCCAGGGCCAGGCGTGGAAGCGCTTGTTGGGACCCAGACAGAAGCCGCAGGACACTCTGATCTGCCCTCTGGCAGCTGAGGACGTGATGGGCAGGCTGGGCCTTGCTCGTCGCAGGTGAAGGAGGGGAAGTTGCTTTGCCAAGGCCACAAGAGTTGGGTTGATCCTGATGCCGAGGGGTTGACTGAGTAGAGAAGCTAACCAAGAGCTGACTCCACGTGGCCGTTTAATTAGGTCAATTAAAGAACGAGTCCTGCGGCCCTCTCCTTTTCCTGCTTTTGTGCAGAATTATCCTTTTACTTTTGTGCAGAGGTCAGCAAACTCTCTCTGTCCAGGGCCAGATGGTTGTTGTTTTTTTCTTGTCATTCCTGCAGCCATTTATCTTTTTTTTTTTTTAATTTATTAAGATATTATATGCGGGGGGGGGACAATGTCAAAATATGTACACAAATAATAATTTAATAAAAAATATATATATATTTTTAAAAAGATATTATATGTATACATACCTTACCAACCCCCCCCCCACTCCCAAACATGCCCTCCCTCCCCATAGTTTTTCCTCCATTGGTTATGCTTGTATGCATGCATACAAGTCCTTCGGTAGATCTCTTATCTCCCCCATCTCTCCCTATCCTCCCCGCTGTAATTTGACAGACTGTTTGTTTCTTTACTGTCTCTGTATCTTTTTGTTCATTAGTTTATAATGTTCCTTATTATCCATAAATGAGTGAGGTCATGTGGTGTTTTTCTTTCATTGACTGGCTTATTTCACTCAGCATGATGTTCTCTAATTCCATCCATGTCGCTGCAAATGATAAGAATTCCTTATTTTTTTTATAGCAGCATAGTATTCCATTGTATAGATGTACCAAATGGTAAATACTTTAGCTTCGTGGGCCATGCGGACTCTGGTGCAACTATACAACATGGCAACGATGCAACACGACGGTTGCAGCACAAAAGTAGCCATTGAGAACATGCACATGAGTGGGTGTGACTGTGTTTCAATAAAGCTTTATTTGTGGGCACTATAAAGTGTCATATAGCTTTGGTTTCCTTTTCAATCATTTAAACATGGTAAGTCCGTTCCTACTTCGCAAACCATCCAAGAACAGGTCGCAGAACGCATGTGGCCCGTGGAGTGTGCTACCCCCTGCACTGCTGATGCCACAAGACACTTCCTGTGGCCAGGAGACCAGTGCTGGCTTCCGAAGTGGAATCGTGTGTTTTGAAGTCTCTCAGCAATGCCAAGGTCCGTGTGCAAACTGGACATCTGACTCTGATCAAGCCTTAAACAAGCAAAGCCCGGGCTGGCCGGCCCAGCGCCATGACAAAACCTAGGGACCTTGAAGTCAACCAGTTCACATTCTAGACTTGATGTGTGACCACACTTAATACCAACTTAGGATACAAGGCTCTCTTCTATTAAACCAGAAAATGGAGGGAGGGAGGGAGGGAGGGAGGGAGGGAGGGAGGGAGGGAGGGAGGGAGGGAGGGAGAGAGGGAGGGAGGGAAAAGGAGGGAGGGAAGGGAAAAAAGAGGGAGGGAGGAAAGAAGGAAGGAAGGAAGGAAGGAAGGAAGGAAGGAAGGAAGGAAGGAAGGAAGGAAGGAAGGAAGGAACCCAACTCCTAGTGTAAGTGAAGTGTCCATTGTCCCTTAGTCATTCATTTCCGTGCTGGCTGACACCCATTCCACCTCAGCTCAGTGCCATCTTCTTCCTGTTGCTGCCAGACAGTCACCTCCCGCAGGTATCCGTGAAGAGCTACTTAACAGCACGTCTGCATCCCCAGGTTTCCTTTGACATTTTCCTCCTCCAGCACAACCTTCCCCCACGTTTTGGGAGCCGATGTGGGAGCCTGGGTGGGAGCCAGGGTGGTGGCTCGGGAAGCTCCAAGGCCTGAAGTGAAGCTAGTCTCTTCTCTCGGAATTTAAAAAGAGCGTGGTGAGCCTGGCTCCACCTTCCCGGGGTGTGAGAGGAGGAATAAAAACATCTCAGAATGACCGTGTGCTCCCAGCCGGCGATGTGCCTCAGTGGCTGAGCGCCAGCCTACGAACAAGGAGTCGGGTTGGATTCCCAGTCGGGGCCCAGGCCAAGGAGGTGGCTCCATCCCCAGTGTGAGGCATGAAGGAGGCAGCCAGTCAATGATTCTCTCTCAGCACTAAAGTTTCTCTCTGTCCCCCTCTCCTTTCTCTCTGAAATCAATAAAATCATATTTTTTTTAAATGGCTCTGTGGGGGCAGCCCACACACGTACTCTTTGGGGTCATCCTGGAAGGCTGACATTTTAAAACCTCCCTTGGTGGGAGGGGGGGTGGGGCAGCACAGCCTCTCACGCTGTCCTGGCCACAGTGGACGCTCAGTAAACGCGTACAAAACAGAGGCGAGGGGGGCGGAGGGGGGTGGAGAAGATTCTGTCTGAACAGGGACTTGGGTTTCCTTCCAGCTGAACTGTCTGGGGTTGTGTCTGGGGCTTTGGAGGAGCCTGTGAGGTTCGGGGGCAAAGTTCCCCTTCGGCCCGGAGGGGAGCCGAATCCCGTCTTCACGGCAGACCACACAGGCCCTCCGTCAGCAGCTGCCGCCGCCCGGCGTTACCTTCCACAGGGACGCAGCCGCCGTGGGCTTTGCCAAAGCCTCCCGGTCCATGGCGTCCGCTCAGTGCTGCCCTGGCCACCCCTTCTCCGGGGACCGGCAGGCAGGAGGAGGGACCGGCGCCCAGCCGGCTCAGGATGCGCCCCTCGGTCCCCGAAGGGTTAGAGGGGCTGGGGGAGGATGAGGCTGCTGCTTCCTGTTGCTCCTTTTCCTTTTCCTTGTGAAATAAGGATAGCGCTTGGGGGGTTTTCAGTTCTTATCTTTGGGAGTGATTTTCCTTTGGGAGGGGTGCTGGCGGGGGAGGCAGGAAGGCATGCTGAGAAGAGGCTGCTCTCTGGGAGTGATTAAACCCCGAAGGGAGATGCACGGGGTTAGAGAAGACGGAGGACGGTTCGGAAATGAGTCTTCATAACCGGAGAACGAGCTCCATGCTCTCCATCCTCCTGCATACCCTTCGGAGGCCGAGGTCCTGCAGAGCTTCGAAGGCCCGCCCCCGGCAGGAAGCTTGGCCCACAGTGGGTGCTTCCTGCGTGTAGGCGATGGAGCAAGCACTGAACGAGCAAGCAGAAAGCAAGCCGGGCACCAGCCGCTTTCTGGGCAATGTGGGCATTTTTAATCTTTTCTCAACGCTATCCCAGCTAGTAGGTGAACTGTTTGCCAAAGGGGCCCTCACCGTTTGACTCAGTGGATAGAGTGTCAGCCTGTGAAAAGTCCTGGGTTCGATTCCGGTCAAGGGCCCATGCCTGAGTTGCAGGCTCGATTCCCATTGTGGGGTGTGCAAGAGGCAGCTGATCAATGATTCTCTCTCATCATTGATGTTTCTCTCTCTCTCTCTCCCTCTCCCTCTCTGAAATCAATAAAAATATATATATTTTTTAATGTCAGAGTGGCTTGAAAAGGTGTGATGTGTGGTGAATTTCAATGTCTTTGCTGGGAGGCAATGAAAAAAATGCTTCATTGCCCTCGTGTCTCTTTGGCATGCATATTCTCAGCGGTTTCTCTTTAAGCGGATTCAGCTTCCAGAGCACATGTGTCAAACACAAGGCCCGCGGGCCAAATCCGTCCCGCCAGGCCTTGCAATGTGGCCCGCACCGCGCTGTCATCACTGCACTCCGCTGCGTTTCCATCACAATGACAGTTTATGACTGTTCAGTAAACCATTCGGCCTGCGATTTAGGCTGGATTTTAGATTTTGGCCCCTTCTCTGATTGAGTTCGACACCCCTATTCCAGAGCATTCACGCTCTCATCCCCGGGGGAGTGTTGTTGGAGACTCCGCGAGTGAGGGGCTTAAAAACAACTCCAATGCAAGGACACACCCCAGGCCAAAGGCGTCCGAGCTTTGGCGGACGGGAGCTGGCCAAGCCCTCCAGATGACCCAGACATGGGCAGCGACGGCTCAGAGCCACTGGGCGGAAGGTCGAGTCCATCCGTGCCATCAGCGGTCGGAGCCGGCAGCGCTTACGGGTGGACATGATAATCCTGTGGGCTGCAGTGTTTGAATGAAGTCAGCACTTTTTCTTTCCAACAGTGGTTTTCACAGGCCGAGAAAGCCCTGAGTCTTTGTATCCAAAAGTCATTTAGTTGGGAGGAAAGCTTTCCGGCTGCTCGCCAGCTCTCGGATGGAGTGTGGGAGAGGGAAATGCCAGGGTTGGCATCATTAAGTTCCCAATCCCCAGCTCCTGCTCTGGGGCCTGCCATGGAGCAGATGCTCAGCAATGCTAAAACAATGACTGCAGCTGCTGCCGGCTGGTCACATACGGTTACCGTCACTGCCTCATTAGTCTTCAGAGCAGCCATAGGAGACAGGAACCAGCAGCACTGGCATTCTAAGGTGCCCCGTGGTATGCTTTGCCCGTGTTATCTTCTCCGAGTGAGTGTGGGTAGGGCCTGTGAATATGATGGGGTGTCACTCCCGATTATCTTACATTATGGCAAAGAGGAAGGAATGCCGAAACCGGTTTGGCTCAGTGAATAGAGCGTTGGCCTGTGGACTGAAAGGTCCAGGGTTCGATTCCTGTCAAGGGCATGTACCTTGGTTGCGGGCACATCCCCAGTAGGAGGTATGCAGGAGGCAGCTGATTGATGATTCTCTCTCATCGATGTTTCTAACTCTCTATCCCTCTCTCTTCCTCTCTGTAAAAAATTAATAAAATACATTAATTAAAAAAAAAAAAGATGAAGGTATTCTGCAAGTGTAATTAAGGTCTCTGACCGGTTGACTTTGGATTAATAAAAAGGGACCTTCTCTTGGGTGGGCCTGAGCTCATTAGCTGAGTCCTTTAAAAGAGGAGTGAGAAGTTATACTCAAGTCTTGCTGGCCTTGCCTTTATTTATTTATTTATTTATTTATTTATAATCCTCACCTGAGAATATGTTTTTGTTCATTTTAGAGAGAGGAAGAGAGAGAGAAAGACAGAAACATCAACGTGAGTGAGAAACATCAATTGGTTGTCCCTCCCTCCCCCATGTACCTTATGGGGATTGAACCCACAGCCTAGGGATATGCCCTGACCGGAAATCGAACCCACAACTTTTCAGTGTATGGGGTGGTGCTCCAACCCACTAGACCACCCAGGCAGAGGAAGCCACTGTCAGTTCCAATGCTGCAAGTAAATGGATCCTTCCGTGACCCTGAGCCTCGGATCAGACCCTGAGCCTCGGACCCCTCATCTACAGGAAGTGAGGTAAATGCAGGTGTGGTTTTAAGCTGCTGAGTGTGTGATGGTTGGACACATGGCAATAGCACACTAACGCCCGTGAGGGAGTCCGGTACAGAGAAGCTAAGGGCTTGGCCGGGGATCCACAGTAGGTAGCAGGGGGGGGGGGGAGGTCCCATTGGGGGTGGCTATCAGTTGCATGGATTGATCTACTGTTTGCAGGCATGTTGCACAGGACTGCCAGCGTACATTCCCAGGTTGCTCCTTCTCTCAATGGCTTCACGACTGGTGGACTCAAGAATTATTTAGTGCCTACTATGTGTCTGGCTCTTCGTGGCCAGACTACAGCCTCTAAGATCTCTCCTAACGTTGTGATTCTTTTGATGCTCTGAGTCGGATGAGTTCCATCTTACAAAAGGAAAAACAAAAACCAAGGCCCTAAGACCTGGGACGAGATGCCCAGAGCCACACAGCATTCTTCCTGAGCCTTTGCTCCATCGACTCTCCTTCCTTTTTCAGACATTTGTTCTTTCCAGAAGAAAACACACACACACACACACACACAGCGTTGGGCTGGGCTCACCCATCTAGTCAGGGTGAGCATGCGCAGGCAGGATGCTCAGTCACTCGATATTGGTCTCAGTGATGTGTTTTCCTGCCTCCGGCAGATTGGAGCAAAACCTCCCTTTGATCTGCAATTCCCCAAGTCTCCCAGCTACCCCGGAGCAGAAGCGGGTTATAGGCAAGGGCTGTGGTTCACATTTCGTGCAACACGTGGCTTTCTGACTGGGGAGTGGCTGCGGGTTCTTCACATACAGTCACTCCCGCTATTCCTGCACAGAAATTCCTCACATTGCTGTGGAAGCTATTATTTTTTAAGTATTTCTGAAAATCTCTCTTTCTCTCTCACGCATGCACACACACACACACACACACACACACACACACACACACTATACTACTTCACTGCCAATCTTTACATCTGATGTGCAGGGATCTTTCCTGCCAGGATCTCTTGCCCTGCACACATTCCGTGGGTTCAGGGGTCTCCTGGGGCACAGAGGGCCATCGGCCTCCTGCAGCCAGGCATCCCACAAGCCAGCAGGCACACCCGCTCGGGCCACCTTTGACCTTGTCACGTGCCAGGCCTACAAGATGCAGTGAGTGCCACTTGGCAGCTGGGTGGGACCGCCTGACGCTGGCCAAAGCATCTGTTGGAAAACTCGCTTTGTAATTTCCTGAGCCTTTCGGGGTCAGAAGTGGGTAGGAACCCCCCAACGGAAAGAAAGTGCTGATCACTTCCAAGTGGGAGGGAAATCAGAAACACATGGGTGCAGCCTGTGGATCCGGAGCTGCCTGCTCCCCGGACACATGTTCCCCGACGGCCACAGCCCTGCCCTCTCGGGAGCCAGCATGGACATCCCGAGGTCTTTACTCAGCCCAGACGGGACCATACGTGGGCGGGGGCGGTGTTCCGGTTCACCTTCCCCCAGCAGGGCTCTCTGAGGCTGGAGCCCAGGGGGGGGCTGGAATGGGCCCCTGAATGCATTGCCTGTGCGAGTCTCTTTGATCTTCTTCATCGATGGCAGCTGCGGAGGTATTTTCAGCACCTGAAACAGTGCCTGGCACAGAGTGGGTGCTCAACAAAGTCACTGAACGGACGGACTGACGGACGATTCCATTCCTGTGTCCTCGGCACTCTCTGCAGCTCTTGTCGCTTCACTGAGTTTATATAAAAGGTTGCTTCAGGAAACTAAGGTAGCTAAGCCAAGGGAGCTTTGACCTGTCAGCACAGTGGAGAGGACTATACTTTGGCAAGGCTGGGAGAGTGAGGGGGAACCCAGGGAGCGGGGTGGGGGTGTCTGCAAAAGCTGTTGGCCATGGGCAGAGCCTCAGAGTGTCTGAGCTGGGAGGCAGTTTCACCCAAGTTCACGCTCATTCTGAACTCCGTGTGCACTGGCTTCACTAAGATAAAGGGTCTCTCTCTCTCTCTCTCACTCTCTCCCCTCGCTCTCCTACTTTTGCAGCATCTTTTCTTGCCCTGCGATTCTCCTTCATTGCTGGTTTCCGTCCTGGGGAATAAGACCAGGCTTTGCAAAAGGTTCATTTTCCAATCTTGGTCTTACCTGGCTTACATCGTCACAGCTTTCGTTGGTCTGAATGACTCCAACCAAGAAGACCATGAGGGAATTGGAACTGATTTTCAAAAAAGGTGAGCATGTGGATGTGACTAGACACCCTTTGTGTCTCTGTGAATGGTGCTCCGGAGGTCATTAGGAGAATTGGTGTAACCCCTTTGGCAACTGCAATTTGTCATTGCGTTTAGCACTTGGAGGGATAGGTCTATGCTAATGACCAGAGTTGCACCTGCTGCTGAATCAATGAGGCTTAAAGATAGCTTTCCACCTAAGAAACACCTTCTGGCTTTCCCCTCCTCGATCAGCAAGGCACACTTAGCAGATACTGTACATATGGTTTGTGTTTTTTTTGTGTTTTTTTTTTTGCAAAAAGTTTGATTTCTTTAGCTCGAGGCACAGGGGAAATGCAAGGATGTGTTGCCTCTGCTGGTCACGAACAGCAAGGCTACTTCCCAAGTCCAACTCCAGGTCGGTAAATGGGAGCTCTGGGAGCCATGGCCAAGGGTTTTTGTTCCTCCAACTCGAGATACCTCATTGGCTGGCGGCTGGTCCCGCCTTAAAGGGATGTGCCCGGCCCTCAGGTGTGTGCTTTGCTGGGCTTAGAGACTGAGCCCAATGAGGAAGGGCCCGACTCCACACAAATAAAGGCAATGAACGGGGTAAGGCTTTGTGGGCCCTTGGCCAGAAGCAAGCCATCCCCTTGGAGACAGAGCTTTCCACTGTTCCTTCCAAGAGCCAGATTCATGGAAAAGATGAGGCTGACCCTCAGGCACCCAGGACTAGTATGTGGCTTTGACATTGACATGCACAGCTTTTGGCTTCCCTGGGAGCAGTTCTCTTTGGCCCAATACCAGATGATCCCTAAATCTGAGCCTAACCAGCGGTCAAGGACAATAGGGGGGTGGGGGCATGAGTGGGGGGGGGGGAATAGAATGGAGCGTTGAAGACAAATATGTGATATCTTAATCAATAAAGAAAATAATTTTAAAAATAATAATAATAATCCTTAAATCTGGAAATGAGAGCTTCTGAGGCGGGAGTTGTCTTAGATGGCGGCAGCTCTGCAGAGCTGCTGTGTACACGTTTGTTTCCTCTCACCTCCGCTCCGCCCCAGGCCCAGGAGGCTCCTCCCCCGGGACCCCGTTTCATAAAACCGAGGGACGCTGGCAGGTGCCCCAGGACTGGGTCCCTAGCCCTGGGCTGGCCCTACCTTTGGCATCTTTCCGTGCTTCTGTTTTGCTGACGGGAGGGCCTTCCTCCGTAGGCTGGTCACCTCCTGCGTCCTCGGTTCTGTCCTCGGGGATGTGGTCGCCCTCGCCCTTCTGCAGCAGCTGGCCATGAGGCGGGGCCGGGCCTCCAGGCAGCTCCTCGTGCTTCTTGTTCTCCTTCTTCCTCTCGTGGGGAACTCTAGACATAAAACAATAAAATAGAAAACCACACCCTCAGCTGTGATGTGTTGAGGGATGCAACAGCCCCATGGGAGTGGCCCCGCAAGTGGTCGGAAGAGGAAGGAGCTGAAGTGGGACCCCCAACTTCGTGAACATGTATTTAGTCGGGAAGGAAAAGAAATGGATGCTTTCAGCTTATTTTTGCTTATTCGCATACTAGAGGCTGGTGCACAGATTCGTGCCCCGGTGGGTCCCTCGGCCTGGCCTGCACGCTCTTGCAATCTGGGACCCCTCAGGGGATGTCAGAGAGCTGGTTTTGGCCCGATCCCCGCAGGCCAGGCCGAGGGACCCCACTAGCGCACAAATACGTGAGCTGGGCCTCTGGCATGCAAATAAGATCTTTGGTTAATCTCTTCCCACCCTAGTGTGGGTTCATTTTTCTCCCCTGAAAGCCAAAGAAACTTAATCTGAAAACTAGCATCCTAAAGGTGAGAATTCAAAAAGAACAATTAAGTATTCAGAAATAACAGTGTCCCTAGTTGCTCTTCTCAGAAGATCCATCTTAAGCACTCTGTGTGCTGAGTTTTGTGTTTTGTTTTTTTTAGAAAAAACAAAACTCTCCAGCTTAGAACGTCTGCTCTGCATGTGATCACTGATATCTCCAACTCTTCTGGCAAGTTATAACACTCAAACTGGCAAGCCTGAGTGCCCCGTTCAAGGATCTTTAAGTGGGAGAATGAGGAGAGAACTGAGAGATCTGAGAAAATTGAGAGAATGAGGAGAGAAGCTAGAGATGAGAGAAAATGGAGAGGAGGAGGCTTGATCAGATCATCTTATTAGATCAAGTTGGTGGTTCGGCTGATTGGATTGGCCCTGTCCCAAAGGCCTAGGCTTGCCCCAAAGACCAAAACTCAGAGCTGAACAGAGGAACCCCAGTCAAAGGGCAGAGCCTAGGTCTGCAGAGACTTGTGCTCTGTTAGGAAAGTTTTCCTTCATTTGGTTAGTTATAGGAGTAGAGAGAGAGGCTCTGAAGAGATAGCGGAGCCCAACCTGGAAGAGCTCAGCCCCTGAGAGCCAAGCTAGCCCCAAAGGGCTGAGAAAAACCCTAAGAGCTGAAGCTAGTCCCACAGGGATGATGAAGTTTGATTAGATCAGGTGATCAGATTACGTTGATTGGGTCAGCTGACTGGTCTAAGCTGATCGATCAGCTGATCGGATTAGTGTTGGGTTGCTTGTGTATAAAGTTGTAGCTAAGAACAACCATGTGTCAGACTCAGACAGATATGCAAATGAGTGTGGTGGGCCCAAGGACTTCTTTGCTCAGGTAAGCTTTGTCTTGTCGAAACGAATAGGGGCTTCCCGTGACTGCTGGGGAGCTGGGGCGACCACCCCCAGAGCCCGTTCCGGCCCATAAAAATTACACTCAGAGAATGTCAGAGAGCCAAGAATGCTTTTCAAAGGGCCCCAAGTCAAGCAGCCAGTGGGGGACGGACCAGATTGCCACCTGTTTCAAATTAAATGTGTTTATTATCTTTGCATGCCGCTCCCCAGCTCAGCATAATGAGTTAGAAAATATCTTCTGGACTTTAACGGGAAGCATGTTTTTGTAAGTTTAGCTGTTTGCTTTCACAATCAGGCAGTGGCATTCCCCTCGCTTGGACTCCGCTGTGTGCTTTATTGGAGCGGTGGGACGGTGTTTGTGGGCTCTGCTCATTCAACACTCATTTTCTGTCCTGTTATGCCTCAGGCTCTCTGTTGGGTGCTAGAGTGGGAACAACATAGTTAGTAAATACAATATATAAGTGAAGCAACTGTTGTTTATGAAGGGAAATAAACAAGGGAGACAGAGTATCAAGGATGGAGTCGTCAGAAAGGTTCTTGGGCAAAAGAGTTAGGAGCTGAGACCTGAAGGATAAGAAGAAACCATTCAAATAGGATCCGGAAGATGAGTATTCCAGGCAGAGGGAACAGCAAGTGTAAAGGCTTTGAGACAGTGAAGGGCTTGTAATAATTAAGGAGAAAACAAGCCAGAGTGGTGAAAGGGGAGAGGAGAGAGAGAGAGAGCCATGGGAGGAGGCTGGAGAGAGGCCAGAGTCAGGTCAGGCACAGCCTCCTAAGGAACGTTCAGGATTTCAGATTTTTATTCTCAAAGCAATGGAGAGCCAGAAAGGGGTGTGAGGGAGGGGGGGACACCATGGCAGGTGAGAGGTGACAGTGGCCTGCCCTGAGACAGCATCACTGGAGATAGAGAGGGGAAGAGGGAGGATCGAGGGGGTTTGGAGGTAGGCTGGACATGACTTGCTGATGTGCTGGTGGGAGGGGATAAGGGAAAAGAAGACTCAAGAGACCGGCTGATGTTCTGACCTGAACAAGAGGGTGGATGATGGTGCTACTCAGAGTGATGGGGACTTTGGGAGAGGAAGGTGGGGAGTGAGAGTCCATGTTGAACTAGTTCATTGGGGACACCTCCTGCTTCCATGTAGAAACAAAGAAGTCCCTTGGCAATAAGCCTATTGGAGAGGCTCACTTTTATTTATTTATTGTTTTCGATTTAAATTCTTTATTGTTTCAGGACGTGGGCTTTCGAGAGCATGCAGTGAGAGCGCTGGCGGTGACCCCTTGGCCTCTCACAGGAGTGGTCAACGCCGAGATGGGCAACCTGGAAACTAAAGTGACCGAGGAGCTCCTTTTCGAGCTTTTCCACAGGCTGGGTCAGTAAGAAAAGTGAAAATTCCAAAAGAGAAGGATGGTAAACCAAAGCAGTTTGCATTTGTGAATTTCAAACATGAAGTATCTGTTCCTTATGCAATGAATCTCCTTAATGGAATAAAACTTTTTGGAAGGCCCATCAAGATTCAGTTTAGATCAGGAAGTAGCCATGCCTCACAGGATGTTAGTGTGTCAAATTCCCAGCATCATGTTGGAAAGTCAAGCCCTCCCTCCACCTCTCCTAACAGTCACGAAAGGACTGTGGATAACATGACTCCATCACAACAGACAATTCAGAGATCTTTCTCTTCTCCAGAAGATTTTCAGAAACAAGCAGTGATGAATGACGTTTTGAGACAGATGCCATATGGTGGGAAGTTTGGTCCTCCACATCTTGATCAATCAGGATTTTCGCCACCAGTTCAGTCACATAATCATAATTATAACCAGTCTTCAAGCTTCCAGTGGCGTCAAGATACACCGGCATCACTGCGTAAATCCAGGCAGAGTTCTCATCCCTACCTACTAGACAGATACCACAGTCATGAGCAGCATTACAGAGGACACAGAGACGGTTACTTCTATGAAGTCAGGAATCGCGATGGCTGGAGCCATGACCACGATAACAGAAGAGACCGAAGTAGAGCTGGAAAGTGGCATTAATCTCGAAACTAACAAGTGTCCAAAAGACATTGTTTTTAATAGGGCCCTTTGGACTAAGTTGGTCTGGAATGTTTTGTTAACTGTACAAAGTGCCGAAACTGGTTTGACCCAGTGGATAGAGCGTCGGCCTGCAGACTGAAGGGTCCAGGGTTCGATTCCGGTCAAGGGCATGTACTTGGGTTGCAGGCACATCCCCAGTGGGGGGAGTGCAAGAGGCAGCTGATTCATGACTCTCTCTCATCGATGTTTCTAACTCTATCCCTCTCCTTTCCTCTCTGTAAAAAACCAATAAAATATATATATATTTTTTAAAAACTGTACAAAGTAGTTTTATAAGTTGCCACGTTTCTTTATAAATTTTTTTTTAAAACATCGCTATAGTCTGATACAGAAATGAGAAGACTTATGATTACAGTTTTTACATTGATGACCTTTCACCTCAGGGCTTCATAAAAAGGAAAGGGTTTTATGCAAAAGAAAGTTCCACAATTCCTAATCACTTTAGAAATTGAGGAAAGCACATGTTGTATGGATTGGTTGTATCATAAAGCAAATATTTTAATGATCTGTTACCTATTGTATTGCAAGAACCTGCTTATTGGTGAATCACATTTTGTGTATATGATAGAAAACATTCAAGTTGGTAGTCTAAAATACGGTAGTATTTTGTTAACAAATGAGAAAATGTAATTTCAATGATTCGTTTTTCTAACATTTGAGGAAGATTATTGGTAAAGTTTGTGAATAACCATATCGTTTAACTTCATGGAAAATGTAAGTTCTGTGACATGCGCTTTGAGTTTTTCCCTAATTGGGTATCAAGTGTAAATCTACACTTCCTGTTTCATTCTAAAATATTAGAATTTTCTCATTAAATCGTGTTTGACTGAATAACTGAAGTCACCCAGGAAGTTAAATATCTCTGAATGTATTTTTTTTTAATTAAAATTTCAGTGTTAGTGTAAATTCTCCTTTTCAGGAAGAACAAAAATGCAAATGCAGGGTCAGATAAAAGGATTTACTGAAAGTATGTTTGTCTGGGAAAAGGTTCACAAAGCCTTTCAGTGCTGCCTCTATTACTCAAACTTTAAAAATTTTACAATGTTTTAAAGTGGCCAGGGTATGTGTGCAGGGACACATTTTATTATAGGGATTGTACATGTAGTCTTTATGTTTGAACATTTGAAAGAGTTAAGTCTTACACATTCTGATTTTTAAAATTTTTAAATCCTGTTAAAACTTTTATGTATGTTTCCCTTTAATTGTAGAACTTGTTTATACAAATTCCCTCCTTGATATATTTGGATCCTTTTTAATAACGAGCATTTTTGTACTGTTACTTTTTTATATTGAAAACTTATTAAAAATTCTTTATTGTTTAAAATAGTACATGAGTCTCCTTTTCCCCCCATTGACCTCTCCCCGGCCGCTCCCACCCCCCAGCACATGCCCTCACCCCACTACTGTCTGTGTCCGTTGGTTATGCTCATATGCATCCATACAAGTCCTCTGGTTGATCTCTTCCCACCACCCGCTCCTCTGCCTTCCCTCATAGATCGGACAGTCTGTTCAATGCTTCTGTGTCTCTGGCTCTGTTTTTGTTCACCAGTTTATGTTGTGCAGAAAAACCTTGCTTTTGATTTATTGTCTTCAGTTTAGAAGTCATGATAGAAACATTTGGGAGAACATGAGATGGAGCTAGGCACAAGCCGGGAATAAGAGATGACTTAAGGGCCGGCAATAAATCTAGTGAGTGACAGAGCCTATGGGAATACGTAAGCCTGGGTTCTCTCCTCTGCAGCATCCAGTCCGACCAGACCTCATTCCTGCGTCGGAACAAGACTGCTCGATGAGATGTGGGTGCCGGGAGTCTGAGAACCGGGTGTGCTGAGAGGGATATCAGGAACTTTAAGAAAGGAGGACGAGAATGATGATGCAAAGAGAGGAGGAAGTACATGGGACTCTCAAGGCGTGCCTAGGGGGTGATTTAATATTGTCCTGTGAGTTTCAGCAAGTGGAACCCATTTTTTAAAAAGCCACTCTAAAAATGACATGTCTCTGTAAATCAGATTTGGAAGAACAGCCTGAAATGAAAAGAGACACCTCTTAGCATTTCCTCGGCCGCGTCTCTGCCTCCCCATTCACCCTCAGCAGGTTCTGTTGACTTTTCTACCAGCCTCCCTCTTCCGAGCACCCACCATCCCTCTCTTTACTCTGCTTATCGCCTTCTGTTTGGTGTTCTAGCAGTGCCCGGGGCGCTGATGGGAAGCAAATATTTGGGCGGTGGGTGAATTCGCCTACAAAGCAAAGTGCATTGTGTCGAGGTTGTCACCGGTAACTGACCTGGAAGCACAGATTGTCCCGTGGGCTTCTGGTTTGCACGCATGGCGTCTCGGGGCTGTACCGGGGGAGCTGTCTACTTTTGATAGAAAGAGTTGACGTGTTGGGGTCGGAGATGCTGGAGCTGGCTCCGGCGCGCTGCTGTTTTCTATTTCGTGGCTTCAGGCTTAGGACTTGCCGTCCCTGAACCAGGTGACTTCACCTGAGCGTGTGGATAATGCTCTAGATCAGTGGTCAGCAAACCCCGGACCAGCTGTCCGAGTGTAGAGGTTGAAGTTCAGCTACGGAGCCACAGGGTTCCTCTTTTAAATGCTTAGGTCAGTGGTCGGCAACCTCATTCATCAACAGAGCAGGAGCCGCGACTCAGGAGCTAAAGTGCAGGCTGCTGTGGAGACGAAGCCACACGACACAGGCGAAGGTCTTCGCTTGCTACCTGCCTCGTTGACGCCGGTGCCCACGCACGGCCCGTCATGTCACTCTTCCTCACCTTACAAACATTAGGGTTGTCTGTTTGACAGGAAACACATCCGGGCTCAGTAACCCTGTGAAGGCCGGGGACACACTTCACAGCCAAGGGTAGAGGGCACTGGGGTGCTGGGTGCTGGGTGCTGGGCGCTGGGATGGGATTTAGCAAAGGTTGCAAACTGGAACCTCCTGGTGTGCTAACTTGAACTCACCCATTGTTTAAAGTGAAGGAAAACGTTAAGTTGAAACAATTAAATTAAAACCTGGAGGCCGTCCCTATGCAGTGTGGATGACAAGCCTGTCAGGTGGCACAGGGCCTCTCCATTCCGTGTGTGGCTCGGATGCAGGTCCCAGCCGCAAGGTGGCATGTTGAAGCCACAGCGAGGTGCACCTCAGGTGTTGTGAAGTGAGAGGGGGTTTTCTAAGGTTCTAGAGGTTTCCTTGAACATACAGACAGCCAGGCTAGATCAAGCAGGATCAAAACCCTGGTGCCCAGCAGGCAGAGGAAATGACCTGGAGAGATTTCTACCAGACCGGAAGAGGAAGTAGAAAGCGTTGCCATGAGAGGTGGGAGGGCACCTCTGCCAGGGCAGAGCCAGTGTTGAGCATCTCAGCTTGGTTATTGAGAAGTAACTGCCTCTCCCCTCAGGCTTCCTCTCCCGCCACCCCCCCAGGCTTAAGCAAAAGGGGGGCAGGGGCGGATGAGGCATGAGAAGCCCTCCCAGGAAGCCCAGAGGCTGGGGGAGAGTCAACACATCTTGGCTCATTCTCTGCTTCCACTGTGTGTCCCAAGGTTTGGAGGCAGCGAGACAGCCAGAGTAGCCCAGAGTCCCTTGTGTGCTCTGGTTAGAGGCCCCCAAGGTGTTGAAGGTAGACCTTTGGCCAACGCAACGAAGCCCAGGGCCTCAAAGCTCGGGGACCTGATGATTTGAGGGGTCACAGGAACTTTGGGTTTTGACAGGAGATGCCAGCAGGATGCTCAAGGACAGCAAGATTAGCCACACCTAAGTCAACAGCAGCCCGGGACCTTTAAGCACAAGACCAGTGTGTAGCTAAGGACCCCTGCCACAAGGGTAGTTCAGCTTCCTCCACGCCCAGATACCTCGTTGGGAAGGAGGAGGGAACCAGTGACCCCTGGAGAGAGGGAAGAAACAGCCTTTGCGTTGACCGGGTCTGTCCCTGAATGAGGCTGGGTTCATCTCAAAGTGAAATGTTTCCAACGAGAACAGAGGAAGTTACCCTTAACTGGTGGTTTTTACTTTTCTCTGACAGTAGAGGCACTAGAGGCTCTAGAACAAGAGGATGCTGGGAAGGGAGTGTCACTTTTTTCAACATCCCTGAGTGATCTATGGAGAGGTTGATGCCCTCTCCTTAACTTCCTTACTAGGTTGACTCTCTACGCTGGACTTTTTACCTTTGAACCACAGGGTCAAAATTTGGGGTGGTGAATGAATTTCATCTAATACAATGATTCCTTTTACCCATTACATTATTTTTAATATGATAACATGGAAGGAAATAAATACGAAAAGAAAAATATCCATAGATGCCCTCTCCCCTACGGCAGTGTTTCCCAAAGTGTGGTACGCGTACCCCCGGGGGTACGGGAAGAGTTTGGTGGGGGTACGCGTTGCACTGGAGTTTGGTGGGATATGCACTGCACTGTGCTTAGCTGCGCCTAATTCTACGTTCTCATGAGTACGAGGGGTACTCAGCATTACGAAAATTATAGAAGGGGCACACATATGTCAAAAGTTTGGGAAACTGGCAAGGACGTGCACCTATATTTTTTTTTATGGTTTCCTTATCCATGTTATTAAAATACTGGCTGACGGATTGGCCCACGACTCTGACTCAGAAAGACTGTGCTGCTACATTGAGCGTGTGTCCCAGGCCCAGAGAGGAAAAGGGAGATGAGCTGATTACCTGACATTGTCACATGGCTTCAAGGTTTTGCTTACTTGGGAGACCTTCCAATGCGTGAAGTTGGACATTCTTGGATGCTGTTCAGATTCAATAGTGTTGACAGGATTTCACTTTGTTTCCTACTTCTTAGCCTTTGCCCTTATTCAAAATCCCAGGACTCATGGGCTTGCCTCTCCATCCTTTCTCTGGTATCCTAGACCCCCATTCTGGGGCTCTGGACTTCTTTGGAACGTTGACATTGTGATATTCTCGGAAGAATGTTACAGATGGAATCCCTGGGTCTTTCTAACTGAAGTCCTAACGAAGGGACTTAAGCTGTGCTTAGCTCTGCATGCTCCTCCCCGCTGCCCGCTGTGTCCTAATGCCCGTGTCATTGTAAGAACGGGTTTTACTTGGACTAGGAAGTGAGCCGTGAAGGAAAACACATTCCCCTGCTCAGATGTGTATTGCTCTTGATTGGGACGTAGATGCTGCTCTCAGCAGGTACTTGATCCACTTGCCTGGAACTCTAAAGGGACATGGTCATACCCACCCACATCCATGAGTAGCAAGATGCCTGGTTCAACAAAACCACCTACCAGAGTTCACTTAGATGTGATGTTATGGATTGCGAAACCTACCGTGGGAGAGGAAAGAAGCTGGTGTTTTGAGGGGCCATTCTGTCGTCTCCCCACATGTTCCCAGGGTGGTTCCCTCAGTCATCCACAGGGGGCAGGTGTTTTCAGAAGAGCCTCGGATGGTGAGGGCGTGGGAACCACATGAGAAGCGCTCAACATGGGTGGTCATGCGCCTGTGGGCTTTTCAACAATGAAGAAAGAGGGGGCAGTTCTCAGATGAGCCCTGGGGAGGAAAAGGAGAGGATACTAAGTAAAACCCAGACACAAAATTTATGAGCAAATAGGTAAAATAAGACTTTATGGGTTATTTTTTTCCCCACTGAAAACTCAGCTTTTTTTTGTTTTGTTCCTGACGTCCGCAATATTGGTTTGCCTGGCATTACCAGATGTTAAATTACACTGACTGAATAATATGGGGGAAATCAGATCATGAAAAACCAGGTTGGCCTTATTTTTCATTTCTATCATGACTTATGAATGATTTATCAATAGAACCATTTTTGGTTTCCAAATATACAAAAGTATTTTGGGCTATTTGGGGGAGGATATAGAGTTCTCATAGTATTGTATTGAGGGGTCAAAGAATATAGTCCATATGTTTTGTCAGTTCTTTGCTATTTGTTGAGATATCCTTTATGGCCTAGTATGTGTTCAATTTTTGAAATGTTTCCTAAAAACTTGAAAAGAATGCAGATTATTTAAGAGTTGAGATAAAATTCTAAATATGTGGATTTTACAAAGTGTCTTAATCACGTTGCTCAACTATCAAACATCATTATTAATTATTTGATCACTTGATCAACCAGTTTGTAACAGATGCATGTTAAAATAGCACTTTACAAAATTTAATTTTTTGTAGTTTTATTGACTTTCACTTTATATGAAATTACTGCCTTTGGAGGTCAGTCAAGTATTGACAATTTTATACGGCTCAACCTAATATTTTAAGGCTATATTGCTGATATTTGTTGTCTTTAGTTTCTTATGCTTTTCTGATATACTAGTAGTATATGATAACCTTTCTTGTTCCTAAATAATAATTTTTTCTCTTCAAGTCTATTCTATTTGACACTTACATGATTAGAACATTTTTATTTTGATCAGTATTTTTCTAGTATAAACTACGTATCTTTATTTTAATATTATTTTTTCTAGTTATTATAACTTTTCTTTGCCCTGCCCCCCTGATTCCTGACTTTTTCAGTGAACTATGTCTTCTTTTATCTACTTATTCCCTCCATCTACACTTTTGGGAGCTATATATTCTATTTCTATAATCGTCCTACCGAAAGTCTCAACTCTGATGACTTCATTTTTCTCCCAAGTAATCTCACCTGAGCTCCAGGTGTGTTCTAGAATGTGTGTAAGAGACACAGAAAGAGATTTACACTAAAATTGTACATTTTTTCTTCTACTTAAAAATATCCTTTTGCATAAGATGATCAATATGTCCATTAAACATTATTACGCCCTAGTCATTAAACAAGTTTCCAAACGATTACTATTTGAAAACAACTATGAGCTCACATATGTATGGGAAATAATCATAACAGATTTCTTGAAAAAGTAATAATTCACAGATGATGTCATTCATTCAACAATATATTGAGTGCCAACCTGCACTGGGCACCGTGCCGTCCATTCCAAGTAAGGAAGTTTCATCATAGAATGGTGCAAGTAAAAGGAACTGTTTTTCTCGAATTTCTTTTTTTAAGTCACTTGATGATTTTACTGATTTAGGAGAGTAGTTTAAGTGCAAACATGAGGGCAGAAACAGAGATGATGTTCCCAGTTACCAAAGACAAAATGTTCCTTCACTGTTAAAGTCTAACAGACTTGAACTAGAAATGAATCATTTATGATGATCTTAAAAAACTCTATGGATATACATGGAAGGAAAATGCAAAGCATGAATGTGTTTATTTGACTTAGAAAAGGCCTACTGGAGAGGGGCAAATTTTATGGTGCATTCTTTTATTTAGTGATCAGAGATGAATGATTCTTTTTATGAAACCATATATAATCTCTAAGTGGCTTTCAAGGGGAAACAAAATTCACGTGAAATAATGGAGATTTGGGTCAGATTTTCCAAAGAGGTAAAGAATGTCATTGATAAAACTACTGGGACATCCTCAGTGCAATGGGGCAACTGGGCCCCAAAGAAGTAAAAAATTTGGGGAACAATAAAAGCATACATGGACTGTGGTCAATATCTTAATGCTGAAAAGGTTTGGGAAGATTTTCTTCAGATTGATCTCATCTAGAAGGGAGAAAAGGAAGTGATGTTTAATAAGCATGTGTGATGGTATTGTCATGGTATGGGTGATACACACATGCACATACTCTTACACATGCATACATGTTAGTTATATGCATTCATATTAGGTTACACACATTATATATTTATAATTAATATCTATATACATAAAAGCCCAGTGACGGAACGGCAGAATGACCAGAATGACCAGTTGACCAGTCGTTATCATGCGCACCGACCACCAGGGGGCAGACTCTCAATGCAGGAGCTGCCCCCTGGTGGTCAGTGCACTCCCACAGTGGGAGCATTACTCAGCTGACTATATGAGTGACGCTCCCATAGCAGGAGCAGCAGCACAAGGGTGGGTCCACAGTCGCTCAGCTGACCAGGATGAGTGGCCGCTCCCACAGTGGGCCGATTCCTGCAGGCCCCTACCAGTGCACGAATCTGTGCACAAGGCATCTAGTTTAATATAATAATTAAAAATATAATCATTGCAATAAACCTGTTTGTATTACTTGTCCATTTTAATGGCAAGGAGTGGAAGACTCAGAGAGTTGTCCATGTAAGATCGTACATGAGAAGAATGGTGATTTGTGCTGATGTCTATCAAATTCCAGAGACTGCTGCTTTTCTGCTCTGTATTAATGTCCAGAGATTATGCCAACTAAAAACATTAAAATCAACTGGTTTTTTTTTATATACTCCTCCGCTTACTAGGAAGGTGACATGGCTAAATTCCTTAAGCTCTCTGGACTTCATTTGACCTTTTTGTAAAATGGGGATCACAGCCATCTTACTGCGTGTCTAAAAAGCTCCCTGAAAATTCAGTGGAATGACGAAGTCCATGTACTGATTAAACTGTGCAAAGTAACATCCCAAATGTCATTGTGAAAGCACTGCGCAAAAATAAGAGCCCGCTGTTTTCATGATTGTGCAAGGAAACCAAAGGAAACTGCCTAAATTTAGCCAGTGACTTAAGCAAGATCAAAAAGAACAGCAAAAATACTTTTTTTGTTGCAACTTCAGGAAAATACAAATTAAAAACCTCTTTGTTTACAACAGTGGGATGTTGATACTGGTTGCAGCCGAGTGCTGGGTACAAGGGATTCTCACTACTTTTGTGTTTGAAAATTTCCATCATAACAAAAGCATTAAAAAAAAATACTTCCTTGTTTGACTCTGAATAAATTGGTTGGGATGGTGGTTAAGAACAAGAACTCGGTGGCCAGATACCTGCATTCAAATCTTACCTCTGCCACGGATTAGCTGTGTGACCTTGAGCAAGTGACTGTACTTGCTCTGTGATTAATGGCCTCATCTACAAAGTGAGGATCACCATCGTACCTCCATGAAAGGCTCGTTAGAATTAAATAGGTTGATTACCACTCAGTAAATTATGTACAAGTATTTCAGAAGTAAAAATCTTTCGGGTTCTGAATAGATACTATTGTTTACATGGAAGAGAGGCTCAGGAAGGTCGACCGGCTTGCTCAGGTCACAGTTAGTAAGTAGCTGTGCCTGGGTTTGATTCTGGGTCTGAGTCCAAAAGCTTGGCTGTGTGGGCTGTGCTGTCTCCAGTGGGGACCTTGCTGAAGGAAGGTCCTAACCTGGTGGATGATAGATATGATACGTGCCCGGGGACGTAAGGGTACCTTGGAGACCAGAAGGGTTCCTGAGGTGGGTCCATTTGTAGGAGGCCCAGAAACAAGTTCTTCATAGAGGCCAGCAGGAGACACCCTCTGGGGACCCCGCACTTCTCTGGAAGGGCTCTGAAGGGAGTCAGAATTCCAGAGTGAAATAAATTTTAAAAAAAGAAGTAGGCAGCCAAAACCGGTTTGGCTCAATGGATAGAGCATCAGCCTGCAGACTGAAAGGTCCCAGGTTCGATTCCGGTCAAGGGCATGTACCTTGTGGGCACATCTTCGGTGGAGGGTGTGCAGGAGGCAGCTGATCGATGTTTCTCTCTCATTGATGTTTCTAGCACTCTATCCCTCTATCTTCCTCTCTGTAAAAAAATCAATAAAATATATAGAAGAAGAGGAGGAGGAGGAAGAAGAGGAGGAGGAGGAGGAGGAGGAGGAGGAAGAGGAAGAGGAAGAGGAAGAGGAAGAGGAAGAAGAAGAAGAAGAGGAAGAAGAAGAAGAGGAAGAAGAAGGCGGCAGATCATGTAGCCTGCCTCGGGCACACATAAGGGGAAGAATGTTAAAAGTTTACCATCATCTCCTCTGGGGTAATGTTATTGTTCTGTATGAACCAGGTGGTTGTGAGGAGTTCTGCACGTAAGAAGTGTTGATTCCTCATGGTGTCAGGAGAAAAATGATCACGGGTTGGTGAACACTCACCTATTCCTCAAGGAAGCATTGAGGAAAGCTTAGCTACGTTGACGCATATAGATTACGCAGAAATCTTCAGTCCTCCTCGGTTTGATTGAAGTACATTTCTGAGGTTCCACGCTAAGCAGTTCAATGCCACACTGTGACGCTGGGATGTAAGCTGTGGGATTCTGCTGAAGCCTCGCATTGGGTTTTAATGACCCTCTGGAATCTGGTGGCCAGTCTCCTGTGATCTCTGAGAGCAGAGCTGTAATTAACATCAGTATGCCCCCTTCACAAAGGAGCTTCATGGGCATGTTCCCATGTGACCGCTCCCACAAGTCTGTCTGGGGAACTACAGTTACCTCCATCCTGGAAGCGGGAGAAACTGAAGTCCAAAGAGATTATAAGACCCAGGTACCACAGCGTATGGTAAGGTCCAGGCTATGAGCCCAGGTATTTACCTAAACACTGGAGGTACTTTCATTCTGCTCCATTGCGTCTGACCCAAAAGTAACCAATGTATGAGAGGAAAGATTGGCTCAGTTCTTTGGTCTGCTATAACACAATACCCTTGACGAGATGGCTTATAAACACTATTTTTCATAGTTCTTGGAGGCTGGGAAATCCAAGATCAAGGTGCTGGCACATTTGGTGTCTGGTGAAGACCTGTTTCTCAGATCAGAGATTGCCATCTTTTATATATATATATATATATATATATATATATATATATATATATATATATATATATATATGTGTGTGTGTGTGTGTGTGTGTGTGTGTGTGTGTGTGTGTGTGTGTATATATATTTTAATTGATTTTAGAGAGGAAGGGAGAGGGAGAGGTAGATAGAAACATCAATGATGAGAGAGAACCATTGATCAGCTGTTTCCTGCATGCCCCCTACTGGGGATTGAGGTTGCAACCCAGCATGTGCCCTTGGCTGAAATAGAACCTGGGACCCTTCAGTCCTCGGGCTGACACTCTATCCACTGAGCCAAACCAGCTAGGGCAAGACTGCCCTCTCTTTTGCTATGTCCTCAACTGGCAATGAGGGCAAGGGAGCTCTCAGGGGCCTCTTTCCTAAGGGCACTAATCCCCTTCATGAGGGCTGCACCCTCTCAGCCTAATCATCTCCCAAAGGCCCCACCTCCAAATACCACCACACTGGGTGTTAGGACTTAACGTATGAATTTGGAGGAAAACATGACCATTCAGTGTACTGTATGGATGCTCATAAAAACAGTCCTAGTGCATGGTAGGAAATATGAGTCTACAAGTAAATGCCAAAAAGATACTTAACTCGTTAAATTTTTTTAAAGAACAGCAACTCTAGATCCTTAGGGGATAATATGCAGGTCATCATTTTTCACCAGCCTGCTAATTTTCCCCCCAGGCAGGTAGGCAGCTTCGCAAAGTTGTTCAATGGAATGGTTTGATAGGTCAAGAACAGATTTTCCAGTTGGGGGGGGGGGGCCCCACTCCGAAACTACCAAGCTGTGTCATCTGACAGCTCTCAGGTCAGTCAAATACAGGAGGAGAAGCCTGCGGATTTTCGCAGTCCATTAA